TCCATGTTGCAAAACGCTGCATGTTGAGACGGGATCGTCTTGTAGCGCTGAAGGCGTGTTGGCATAGGTGCATCTTAGGCCTACACCTGTAGAGCTGTCTGTTCTGGGAAACTGCTCTGTATGCGAGTTGTAAATAGGTCTCGAAAAACAAGTTTCCAACCTCAGATTTGCTTGGGGTTGCCAGAAACAGGAACTACACTTAAGTTAAGAAAAAAGGATGCCCCCAACAAAGCTACTTTCAACAAGTGCAAGTCTCCACTCCCAACTGGTGGTATTCTTGTGGGGTGAGGAACCAGCCCTTCGACTTCGCAAGCAGGGTCAGGACATTGTTTGATGCCCACAAAGCCGTTGAGAGGTCCGGGATTCCACAATCTCTGGCTTCAACCAATGAAGCTAGCCAACTTCCGATGACGAACGTATCGTATCCCTTTGTTTTGAGCTCTGGGTACTCACCGCTGACCCAGTTCAAGGATTTCTTGGTGATGGTCTTGCGGGCTAATGTGTATTTGTTAGCTTTGGCGAAAGCAACCAAACTTTTCGTGGCAGCCAAGAGTTTCAGTGTTTGGTTTCGACCAGGGAAGTAGCCAGCCCTCACCAACTCCACTAAAGCTGATGCCAGGAAGTCCCTCTCAGTTCCAAGGTGCCATATATGCAAAAGGTCTGGGTGGACCATGCGTAGATCCCAGCCTAATCAGCTTTACAAATGCAGGACCTGGCAGGTCGTATGGTAGGGTCTGGTAGAGGGTGGTTGACCAATTGCACGCACTGTTTGTGTAGGCATAAAATAAACTATCTTCGTCGTTCCCGTTCCCCTTGGTAGCTTCACACATCCAGCATACCTGACGGAAACATACTTTCCAAACAAAATTGAAAACTGACCCCCTCCCCACTCAACCCCTTCCAGAGCTGTAGGTTTTCAAGGTTACAAAAAATCTTTGGAAAGTAGAGGTCGTATTGACCCCCACCTCATTGCTGGAAGCACAGCGGTTCAATAGCAGGAGCTGCTTGAAGGCCTTCCAGTCTCCACGGACACCCATCATGAACCAATGATGTCGGGAAACCTTGGATCCGCGGAACGATTGGACAGCGGCTCAAAGAAGTCAAAGACCGTGCAAAGCCGAAACGCACACGGTCCAAAAAAACTTACTTGTACCATAAGTTTTGGGAAACGATGTTTCCAGTCAAGGGGTCTTTGAGGCAGGCCCCATCTCGGGACAACCTGTTGATCGAGACAACGATGGCATCCAAAGCTGCCTGTAGCGTCAAGTTGTGGGTTCCAGTTGGGTCGAACACATAGCGGCTAGCCGGGATGACCGTGATCAAGTTCCGGGAGGCCAATGAATGTGTAGCATGGGGTGTGTGATCAGAACACCACGTGAGGTGCATAAAGAGCTCGTTGTTCACACTCGCCTCGTCACCTTGACTGTTACACCTGTTGCAAAACCTCCCCTCCAAACACAACAAAAGTATATGATCTACCAATGGGCTGCTAAGTGACCATAAAGAGTCAATCCAAAGGAAGTAGACCAACGGTCCGGGCAGCCGTGAAGGGGATGATCCGGGTAATCTAGCAACAACTGGCCCCAGTATGGTTGGCGCTCCTCAAAATCCACCAGATGCCGGAGGTAGCCTCCATCTAAGATTGCTTGTACCTGGAAATGGTTTGTACGTTGGCTATGGATTGAAACCGAATATCAAGTTGAAACAACACAGCACCAATAGTAAATACCAGGTGCAAATTGGTCTGGCAAAACAAAAGGCCATTGTTCCATGGTAACTATGGGGTTTCCCAAATCATCATCGCCAGACTTCAGTGGCAAAGGGATGAACGAAAGATCGCAATCCAGAGCCAGAGACTTCTTCCGAGCACCACCATACAAGCTCCTTTCCATTGAGCTCCTTGGATGCCATGGTGATGGACAGATGGAGCCGGAGGCAGCCAAGGGAAACGGAAAACACTAGTGTGCCAAGGTTCGTAATGACATCACTGTCATACACTTCAGCTAGAGCACGGGCGCTCTTGACAGAGGCAGCTCCAGTTCCAATTTGCTTCACCAGTCTCAGTGCGCTGCGTTACATATTGTGTAGCCACATATGTGCACAGTGACTCTCACATTTTCTTGATTGAGCTTGTTTTTGCATTTCTGCGCACAGATATAAGAGTTGCCAAGTCGCACTGCATCCAAACGTTCTTTCAGGGTCCGCTCTGCAGCACCTCCAGAAAACAAGAAACAGCAAAAGTTTATGGCGAACCCCCCAGTTCCATGACACGACAAGCACTGAAGCACGCCTAGGCAACAACACTTTTGTCGCCAGCGCTCCTATCCCATGTCACACCCCTATCTAGCATATCTAGTGATCTATGATCATACAGCATGTTGGTCACGCTGTGAAACCCCTTGCATAGGTCAGACAATCCCTTTCCTGGAAAGGACAGCCTTGCCCACGCAGAGCGCAGTAAAGCGCAAACACCTAAACAAGAGCTAGGCTGCATCCTTTGCAGCCTTGCGAAGCTCAGCCGCTACAGCCCGCGCTTGGGCCTTCAACATTTTCCCAGTCTCAACCTCAGGTTTTCAGCGCTTATGCACACCTACCTGAGGTGGTAGTTTGCCACAGCTAACAGTTAAGACGCGCGACCAGATCCGTAGCCTTTTTGACCAACTTCTCGATCTTGTCCGAGTCGGTTTCATTGGCCAGCCTAGCTGGACAAAGTATGGTTATTTCAAAAATGGGGGAGTTGATGCCGCTCAACCTTAAAGAAACCTAAGGCGATGGCTCATCCAAGACCTTCTGAAGTGCCTTGTTATGTTTCTCCAATGACACCCTGAGATCATTGCCAGCAGGCAATTCAAGAAGGATCGAAGTGTTGGCATTCAACTCCCGCTTCAACTGGTTGCCTGGGATGAGAGCAGATGAGAAGACACTTAGCATGGCCCCACTAGCTAGATGGCTATCAGGAAAACAAATCCTTTACGATGTAAAACAATTTACGTGCACCAGCTTTCTTCTCCAAGGGGGTCAACTCCTTCTGTTCCTTCACCTTGGGCTTGGTGGTCTTCCTTGAACCCTTGCGCTGTCCAGGGCCAGCATGGTTGTTCGCAGATCCTGCGGCGCTGTACTCAAGGCAAGCAAGGGAACTCTTTTTTAGGGTGCTTGAACCTAACGCCTGTTTTGAGGGGTGCTTTAATGTAATGAGATCAACGACTATGGTGGACCCTGTCCTGCTTCCAGCAAGCTCTTAGACGTTGCTAACAAGGCATCAGTCCCAGGAGCACCAGAAAAGCTAGGGAGGGAGGTTGCAGACGGTGTGCCAAGTCCAGCAGTAATATCAGTGATGAAGTTGGGATTGACTTCACCCTCCATGCTCACGCTGGCGGTTTGGCTCACCGATTGCGTCTCAGCAACAGACGCTTTGTCCTTGCACCAAAACATGACCGATTCTGGGTCATCAGGAGCATCCTCGTCAATCACACCGCATCCACGGCGTACAATGCCCTCAATCTTCTTCCTCAAGTTGGCGTGCGCTGGTTTTGAGGTCTGCCGTTATAGTTAGAAAATACAACCTGACAAACAAAACAAAACAAATACTTCTCAGCAACAAGCCAAATGTCGCGCTGAATCCAGCTTCAATCATGTCCTTCACCGTCATCAACTTCTTCCCAGTCTTAAGCTGGGTCATGTTCTCTCGCTTGAGGACAATGGCACTCTCACAGGCCTTGGCGTTGCCTTTGGTCTCAATCCACTTGCGAAGCAGATCATTCTTCTCCTGAATGAGAAAGAATAGAAAAGATAACAGACTCATTGAGTTGATCAAACCTCAGGCCCAAATACGCAAAACAAAAAGCTCAAGAGATGTTCTCTGCCAAAGCTAAGTTTCTTTGGAAGTTCCATTCCAAAGCTGGCACATGGAAGGCAGGGACTTCGCTCTGTGATTGTTGCTCATGCAACGCATGAGGGTCATGTACTCTTTCTTGTGCGTAGAAGAGTTCACCACCTTTGGGTCCTTGACACATGCGCCTCCACCAGCCCCTGGCTCATCACCGTTGTCACCACCATGACCCTGCTCATCATCGTCATCTTCCTCAGGCTCCTCTTCCTCAGAATCCTCACGCAGATTCTCCTTTTTGCAGAGGAGCCTCCTGCATTTCAGACTTGGCCTTTGGAGCTGCCGGCATCGCGATGAGCTTGGGCCTCTTTGGGGCAGGCGGTGCAGCAGGAACTGGCATAGGCTCCTTGAGGTTCAGCATTCTCTCCAACTCCTCAATGTGCTTGTTGTATTCATCGCGCTCTGCATCACGATCCGCCCGAAGCTGGTCCATCTGCGCACGTAGCCGGTGTTCATTGAGATTGACTTGTGAAGCGCTAGGGCCAAGCCTCCAATGAAAGAGATAGAAGACTTGGAAACATGTGTGGATAGATTGGTATATACGTTTCAGCGCGCACACGCAGCACCTTCAAAATACAAGTCCGTTGATATATAGTCACTGTTTAAGTACTCAGACGAGCAGCTCCGACACAGGCGATGATGGTTTGGCCTCCTCCTCAGCCACCGGTACATCCGGTGCCTCCGCTGCAGCAGGCTCGCTAACCTTGCGGGACTTCCGCTGCTTCTCCACCACCTCTTGCCCAAGCACAAGGGTTGTGCATGACCTGGGCTCACATGTGTACCCCAGGGCCCAAAATACATGTAGTGCATCGTTTTCAGAGTTGCAGAAAGGGTACCCAAGTGAGCGTGTGGAAGCCCGCTTGCGAAGGGCAGACGCTCTTACGTTGTCAGCCGGAGGTTCCTCTTCTGGCACCTTAATTTACAGGAAGATAGACACCACTAGCTGAATTCTGATTCCTATTGAAAAACCCATGAAATCACCAAAAATATATTGTTTTCACCGGAGCACTGGGTCAGGAGAGCTCTTGCCACGAACACGCTTGGGGGGAGGGGTCACAGTCGAGGCCTCTGGTGGGGTTTTCTGTTTGCGGGCACCCGAAGAAGAACTAGGGGCACCAGCATCCCCACCAGTGTCCTCAGCATCCTCCGGGGGTGGAGTCTTCTTAACCTTCTTACCTTTCTCTTTCTGGGTCTTCTTCTTGCCTTCATTCTCTGCCGTGTCTTCTTCTTCATCTGTCTTCTTCGCCTTCTTACCCTTGACCTCCTTCTCACTCTTGTCTCCCTCTTCTCCCTTAGCCTTAGCCTTTTCTTTTGTCTTCTCTGACTTCTTGCCTCCCTTAACCACCTCAGTCTCTTCACCCTCTCCCCCGTCCACAGGCTTCTTTTTGGAAGCTTTGGCCTTGGCTGCTTTGGGCACTGGAGCAGGTGGCTCGGGTGCATCAGGGTCGGGGCCAACGATGTCCGTCAAGACCTGGGCTGCCTCCTCCCGGGTCAGCTTCATGTCCCTCATGAGGAACTCAATTTCATCCCAAGTGTAGAAGGGTTCTCCCTCAACTGTTTCTTCTACTACTTTTGGCTCTGGTTCTACTGGCTCTGGTGCCTTCTTAGTTTTAGTCTTTTGCTTCTTCTGTGCACTAGAGGAAGCAGTGGTCGAACTCACGTCAGATCCTCCGGCAGCTTTTCCGGCAGGCAACTCGGATTTCGACTGCTTTTCACGCAGCAGCCCCAGCACACTGTCAACAGTGCCGGAGGGCAAGGACGTCATGAGGGAACTGCTGGTAACCACGTTTGCACAGCTAGAGCGTTGTAGCAGCTAAGCTTGGGCCTTTAAGAATGAAGGATCACTATAGATCATTTTAAGTGAGCGACTCCTCAAGTTCAAGCGAAGTGGAATGGGAGTGAAAATAGTGAAAATCCGAGTGAAAACAGTGAATCATTGATGAATGAAAAGGTGAAAACGAGTGAAAACCGTGAAATTCACTGATTTACTTCCTAGTTGCCACTAAATTTTTGTGGTCTCCACCTTTCACGCTTTTCACGGGGATTTCCCGGTCATACACGGGGATTTCACGGCCAAATCACGCATTTTCACGGTTCGAGCTCGCGCCGGTTTTTCTGGGCACATATCCCGCCCAAGGTTCTTCAGAAGCTCGAATGGAGTCCCACAAAGAGGCCGGAGAAGCTTATCCTGCAGAGGGCGGGCCAAACAGACACAGAGGGTAAATTCTATAGTGGAGGAACTGAACCTTCCACACCTCACCTCAATCCAGCTTATCAGAGGATCCAAGCAAGTTCACAAGAAGATTTGTTGGAACCGTGTGGATCTTTGGAACTGTGTTGCAATGAAGCGGTCCTTGAGAACTGAAAACGCTGTCGAAGTCAAAAGCGTGGAAGATTTGGTTCTTAGTGCAGCGACCGACGGCGGTGGTAGGTTAATACTGGCATCCATTCCCAAGGTGTTCCATTCGCAAGTCAGCGTTCACATCTTTGAAACAAAGGTTTCATCCAGAAGTTGAGTCCCAGCAGACATACTGTGTGTACTGAGTGCCCGGCCCATAAACCAGTCACATTGACACTGGAGCTCCTTGTCAAATATTTGACGACATCCCCAATCTTTGCCTGGGACGCGACGCGCAGAGGGCCCCTCCAGATCATTCTTGTCCCTGATAAGAGGCCACTTGTGGTGGCGCCTGTAATTGTTGTCCCAAAAGCTTTCCAACATATCGTTAATAAGGGCACCACCAAAAGTTACTTCTTGGTGTAGCCAATTCTGCCGATGTATTGATAGACTCAGGGCTAATTTGTACCCAAAGTCTATTTATTTCTGGGCTTGATTCAGGACAGGTTCAGGCGCTCTTAAGTTTGTTTCTACATATACATGTATAAATTATATATATATATATTGTACTGATTTAAGTTGCTTTGTATCCAATTCAACTATAGAAAGACGGCTTAGTTGCGCGTGCATGCAACCCCCACCCTAAACAAACCGTGCCGGGAACCCTCAAAAGGAAGCCGAGCTGGGAAAGAACCAAAAGCCGCCAAAGCGCTTCTGTGCAAAGGTCCCCACTCAGCTCCAACATCTTTCTCGGTTCCTTTCGGGTGTCTATTTTGGTGCAATTCACCAAGAATAGGTCGGCATCGGTGAGGTCCAGGTCCACCTTCGCCGGGTTCCTGGCCTCCGGCAAGGGGTCCTTGGCCGCCAGATCGTGGAAATCACAATGATCCAAATCACAGGCTTGGGCGCCCATGAACATGAACCATGTTGGGTGCAGACAGAACTCGGGTAGACGTCTCTTCACCTGTTGAGCTAACCAATTTCCAAAGTCGTCCGTGTAGGTCCTTGTTCGCTTTTACAAGTCCCGACTGATCAGTGCACAGGGACATCCAGAATACAAGAATGAATGAAGCTAAGGCAAAACAAGAACCACAGAAGCTGAAACTAACCAAGTTTCTGACTTTCTTTAAGCTTCTTCTTGACACCAACACATCTCTTTTTACCAGATTTGTCGATGTATGTTTTCACTAGTTTCTCTGGTTTGGCTTGCTGGTCATCACGTGAAAGAAAGCCCGCACGTTCGCTCAGCATATGAAGGATCCAGTTGTCATTGCTCCATACAATATGACGTTTGGGGCTCTTCTTCCCGAAGCAGCCCATCCAAAAGCCCGTTGTATAGACCTGGAAACAGAATAGAGCTAGGGACTCCTAATGTTTGGAAGGACTACTGAATCAAATCATTTGGTACCTTTAGAAAGTGCACCTAGCCTGAACATTCTTCCAAAGCGGTTGCATCCAGGGAAGGTTTGGGAGGATGGACCCCTGTGGTTGCTCCAGCAACCACCTGAGGCCTCTCGCACTGGCCAAATGTAGGAGTAAGGCGCAGCGAGCGCCCAACAAGTTCCCTTCAGCGACGAATTCACGGGACTCATCACCCTCCGGTGTCAAGAAAGATCTGCCACTGGTATGGCGGCTCCTGGACATGTTGAGAATATTTGGGAATCAAACCATTGGTGTGGAAAAGGTAGTCTCATGTCTTCTCATGCGCGTGTTCTTCCATGTTTCTTCTTATTTGCATGTTTCTATAAATCAATTCTGCAAATAAGGACACGGCATGATCGAAAAGCTTCGGCAGACAAGGGCGATCAATACAAAGCCACCGACTTCGCAGCGTAGAATCTGTGTCACTGCCAAACTTAGAACTGGAAGGAAGCACCCAGATTTGTTCAACTTGAATTTTGACACACAGTCGTGTTCCATCACTAGGACCCAACTCCAAGACACCAAAACCCAGAGGTTGTTGTAAGATCCATGTATTCCGGGTGGTACGTATTGTCGAGCGCAGTGCCTCGCATCGATGTTGAGACATTGGCAGCGCGGTCACTAAGAAGGAAGGAAGGGGGGTCTTGGGAATGTTTGCGGATGAGTGGCTGACCACAATCCCCGAGTCACAGCAGCCCCGCCCGCGAATATCTCAGTAAATTGCAAATCCTTCAGGGAGGTGGGAACACAAATCTGCTCAAGCTATGTTGCAACATATCTGCGCAACCATACTCACAACCATACCACCCTTTCCTGGGATGTGTTGACCTTGGTGTTCCACAAAAGTAGCAGGACCACCAACATCATCGCTGGTGGGAGGCGCCAGCGTAGCATGTCACCAACAACCATGGTTCCTTCACAGTAGCTAGTGCTTCAAAGTGGTCCTTTCCCAAAACGGCTTCAGCAACCATCCAAGTTTCCAATGTGTTGCAATTTCAAAATGGAAACAGATCCTGCGGCAGTGGCACTGAAACCAAACACCAACCAAGGCCTCAAGCAAGTCTGGGAGGCATGTTTTTTAGACGTGGTTGCCTGCAAAGCGTGGCGCCCCTTTTCCAAGACCTCAAAAGGGCTGCACATGTACGTGTACAAAGTGTATGTTCTAGCCTGCACCCCCCTTGGACTATACACGTGGGGTGTATTGTTCACAGGCTTTTCCCTCAGGCGTAGCCGTCCTTCGGACAGCTCTTGCAAAGCCTCAAAAGGTCGAAATTCCTCGACCGCTGAGCCAATCTCGGGCATGTGCAGTCAACGTGAAAAATCTCTCGGCCCTCCAGGTGGAAGACCTTGCTCCACTTCTCAGGGATCCATTCGACCTGAACCCCTTTCTCGACCATCTCAGTCGTCTTCCCGAGCCGGATGCTCAAGCCCCCATTGATCTTGCCGAACAGCCAGAGGAATCCGGACAGCATGATGGCCTGGATCAGCAGGACCCAGCCGAAGGCGATGGCCAGATCTGTGAAGATCCACTGGCTCAGGGTGCCATTCTCGGTATTGGGCTCGTCAGCTTCCCTTGCTCCATCGGCCTGCTGCAGCATCGTGATGAGTGCTGCAATCATCATCTTCTTGCTGAACTGGCTAGCTGCTCTCACCACATTCACGTGGTTCTTCTCCTTCTCGCTGACCTCCTCATAGGTGCCACTCTTCAACATGGTCCTCAACTTGTGGAATCTCTCGATCGTCAGGGCTTTGGTGCCAAAGTCAGCTGTGTTGTCACTGCTCGGCACAGCATGCAGCGTGAACAGCTTTCGCTGCAATGCCTCTTGAACCCATAGGCTCTTCACTTCCAAATGGCGGATGCGCCCCACACCTTGCCGTTGGAAGACTCCTCTTGCTGCGCTTGAGTCCAGGAAGACTTCCATCTTGATGGGGTGTCCTGCAAACATGAAGATCTCTTTTAGGAACAATCCCTCGGCACATGCTGCCACTCCTCCATTGAACTCGGCTTCACCTGAGGACAGGCACAGCATCTGTAGGCTGCGGGCGTAGCTGTAGAGCAAGCAGCCACCAACACTGAACATGGCGCAGGCACATGACTTTCTTGTCTTCTTGCAATTCGCCCAGTCCGTGTCCGAATGGACAACAAGGGTCTCGATGTCCCCCCTGCGCTCCAGCCAGATGCCATAGTCCTTCGTGCCCTGCAGGTATCTTGCCAAGCGATGCAGCTTTGCCATGCTCCCATCATTGGGGTCTTTCATGTCCTTCGTGAGCTCGCGGATGGCAAACTGGATGTCAGTCCGGTCGTAGCTCAAGTAGAGTGCAATGCCAACTCCAGCCCTGAACAACTTCGTGCAGCTCTCGTTCAGCTTCTCACCCTCCTTCACCTCACTGTGAACATAGGGAGTCGGTGCTGGGTTGCAGTTCTCAAGCTTCAACATCTTCAGCAGGTCGGTGATGTACTTGGACCTTGGGCTGATGAAGATTCCATTGTTATGGATCTCCCTTGTGCGCTTCAGGTGCGTGAACTTCTCTCCCTCGATCAACGGGTGGATCTGACTCTTCATGCGAATCCTCTTGTGGAGTTCCTTCTCCAGCTCCTCCAAGGATCTCTGCGGTCCAGTGGCAAAGAAGTCGTCCATGTGAACTTCCATGAGGATGCCCTTGCTGGAATTGTGGAACAGCCAGGGTGCAGCTGGGTTGCGGCTGAATCCCAAGTCCTTGAGATGCCCTGCTGCCCATTCGACGAAACATTGTCCGGCAATCCTCCTCCCATACCATTCCTTCTTCAACTTCCAAACCACCTTCTCAGGCAGGGTCACACCGGCCTCGATCTGCTTCTCGATCCAGTCCTTCGGAGGAAGCATGTATGCATCTTCTTTGATGGGAACCTGCCAGAAAGCATTCTCGGCGTCTGCGGTCATGAAGGCGTAGCCCATCTTGATGCCAATGACGTCCACCACTCTTGAAGTCGATGTACTGGAGGCTACAGCAAACACATCAGTCCT